ACCAGCTTTGTTTGATTTTCTACATGAAGTGGTTATAATTGTATTTACACCAGCTCCCTCCACTGCAGGCATGTTGTTCAAACTCTGTCCATCCTCATAACTTTGTCTAACCTCTGTCTTTCTCCAGAGTGGAGTGAATGCAGGAGTGGAGCAGATTTGAAGTTTCTAGCAGTTTAACTCGACACCTAGATTTCCACCCTGTGGGCAAATCTGAATCATTGTGATGATCGCCCAAAGATAATAAAAAAAATCCCCTCTTACTTAATGTCTAAGAGATGTCATATGCCCTTGACACATGAGCAAAGCGACACCACCCATCACATGAGGTGGAGCTGGTGTATATTACTGTCAGACTTTGTGGTTATATCACAACTGAACATTGAGCAGTTGTTGATTGAAACTCTGCAAGTGCCCCTTAAAGTCTCCATGCTCATAAAGGAGGGTAGGTTTTAAGAACAAATGCTGCTTAATGCTACAATCACACAGGCAGCGGCACGACCACAATTATGGCGGCCGAGTGCAATGAACTTGTGATCCTGACAAGTCCTGCAATGACTTGTGGTCAGTTGACGTCCTCAGAGCAACCCTGGTACATCAACTCAGTCGTAAAATACGATGGAGTCAGCGTGCTGTCAGTTTGTGATTGATCAAATTGGTATTTAAATGTAATTGTCACACACACACACATATATTCTTTGAGTCGCTCTTTTTCATGATTCACACCACTCAGTGCCTAGTTGCCAAGAAGTCGGTGTTTTCTATGCAAACAATGTTCAACAGAAAAAATCTGCTGTCATCAAAGCAGTCACGTGACATCCTCCTTGCAACTGATTCGACTCCCAGGAACTGCTTGCCAACTAGTTGAGGAATGGACGGTTTTCCCTAGTGACCAGAAATAAATGGTAAATGGACTGGTGGGTGGATGCAGCTGACATTTGACATCCAATTAGAGGATGACCTGCACAATCACCTGAGCTACAGCCACCCCAGGGGTTGCAAAGAGGCCCTGGTATGTAGTTGCACATATTATACATAAAGCACGTATTCTCACACATGGTTAGAAAGTAGGGTTAGGGTTAGTCCTAACCCTACCCTCTGGTTTACCCGAGTTCTAGATTGATCAGCAGCCTGGCTCACTGTACTATCATTCATCGATCATTGATCAGTGCTTCAAATGTATCTTATTGGCGAAGAATTCGCGAAGAATTCGTGGCAAAGCCAGGTGTAGCTATGGCCTCGCAATCATTAACAAGGAAAGCCGACCCTAACAGCACTTACGGATTAGGTAGGATTATGATGGAAACCATGTTTATCAAATGTACAATGATTCTGTGTAGTTAGACAACTGTTTTATGGCATGTTTTAAAATTCAGATTTTTTGCATAGCCGGTATAAAGAGGGTGGCTATCACCTCTTCGTTTAAAGAGTGAAACCAGTGCACAAATGTGCAAAAAGCAGGAGGGTGACTCCTCTAGTTGTAGAGAAGCCTGAAAAAAACAGGCTTACTTCTCACTTACTTACTTTCCTAATTAGTTTTTAGGGTAATTTGCTACTTTCTAGTCTAATTTACTACAACATGATAATAATTTTGATAAATTATGGTTTAAAAAAATAAATTAAAAAAAGAATGTTTTAGGTCAAAAGTTGCAAATGTGTGTGATGTGTTTGCAAACCAATATGGTGATAGAGAAAAAACTAAATAGTCTGTAAACCAATGAGAAACGTTACAGTTGCCATTCTTTATATACCGTCTATGATTTTTTAGTTATGTGTATTGTCACTCATATTAAAAATAGCAGTTTTTATAGGAGTGGGGGATTTTCTGTACAGAACTGAACAGTAGTTATGTTACTGGGACATTTGTACTAATGCTACTTCGCGATTACCCTGAATTTCATCTGAATCTCTCATTTCTCCCTGGGGAGTTTCGGCTTCCCATGTCGGACAGAATTCTTTGTAAGGCTATTTTCTGCTTTGATGTCATGAACCAAACTGAGAGGGAAACGCTGAATCATTGTTTTGCTTGGAAAAGTGTCAGATTTGTTTTTGCCAATAATTAAACTATTAACTGTGGGCACGAAACAGCAGTTTCAGCAGCTTCAAGCCAAATGCATCAGCGTCGGGATCGTCCTCCGTCTTGACCTTTGACCTCCATCGTGTCAGTTGTGCGTAACTGCAGATAGCGTTGAAAGTTTCGCCCAAATCTGGGCATTGGCGTCGACTGACAGCGTTTTCTCGGCATCAGCTCCACTCCTTAATGGATGGATATCGGTGTGTCGTGACACTTGCAATTCCCCGACTGAGGCGTCGGTGCCAAAACGAGCTCAGCTTTGGCCCGAATGTGTCTGCTGTCTGGCATCTTTAACCTGATCTGTAGTCACATAAAACCTTTCCTCTCTCTTCCTCTCTCTTTGATGTGTCATCAGCAGTGAAACTCCTCTCGGCGACCCAAAATGAGGCGTATCACCCCCTCACCGTCATCCTCCACGAGGCTGATTCTACAGCTCTCGCGGTGCAGATCTGAGCGGCACAGGTCAGTTTTAGATAACAGACACACCCGAATGCATCACTGTCATGCAACACTCTTTTATTTCTCCCTGAAATTAAACCATAAGAGAACAGCACGCACAAACGACCACAATGAGTATTCCCCTCATATTGTAACAGGTTTGGTTGAGCTGCTTCTGCTACTGATGATGCTGCTGCTGCCGGACTGGGCATAGATTCATCACCGCTGCGTCACGTGACGCTCACAGTACTAAATTAGGCCAATAATCAGGGACGCCTGGCGGCTGAGTTGTTGAATGCACAGCATGTACATGCAACAGTCCCGAGGCGTGTTCTGCAATGGCATCCTTCTCTCTCGCTCCCTTCTTGCCTTATTTCAGCGTGCAGCAAAAACCAGAGACGCACACAGACACGTTGATCCCTGCAAATATATCCCTAGCACATTGTGGGCCTTGTTAATAACCACACGCACACACCGGCGGTGTCAGATGGCCAGTGATGTCGGCCACGGAGAGGGGAGAGTGGGCACGGCTGTAACACAAGCGACCACACCAATCAGGGAGGAGACGGGAGTTGTTTGGTCATTTAAGGTTGGAAACAGGTTGACGTAGATCCTGGAGGGTTTTTTCTTAGTTATTTACACTATTCCAGATTAATTGATGTGATTTACACCAGAGCGAAGGGTGCAATTTGCAGGCAAAAGCGGGGATGGAGTGGGTTGTAGCACACCTGTAATCCTCAGTGTGTGACCCTAATCCCAACCATGTCTGAGACAAATGGCATCTGATTTTTTTTTAGGGGGTGTAAATGTAAAAATAATATAAATAATAATTTGTTTTAGTTCCCTGATTGCAAAGACTGAGAAGAATAATTTTCAAAAGCCCACTCCCCCCAAAAATCACCTTTTTTGTGAGGGTTAGGGTTTGTACTTTATTCAGTTAGTGCAGATTATAATATTATATTTTTATTATATTAGGCACATTAAGACTTTATTTTTTGCTTCCTCCTTGTCCGTTTAGCGTGAGTGCACACCGTTACACTGAGAGACTGGAGAACACCACCCGACACGAAATCAGGAAGCTTCCAGGATGAAGATCTAGCCGTCTTCTAATCGAGAGGTCGGAGCGTCCCTGGGCAAAAATACTGAACCTCAGACTGCTGCTGACAGATCCCTCATCGTGTGTGTGGGGTGTGTGAGCACCGAGTAGAAATTAATATAAGTACAAACACATTTACACTGACAGAGGTATGCAAATTAATATTTTCAAAGGACAAAATCACATGCAAAGTTTTTACAAACCTAAAACAAAACCTTGATTGATTGAACAATTGGAAGCCAGAGGAGAAGTAAATATTAGCACATATGTGTGTGTGTGTGTGTGTGTGTGTGTGTGTGTGTGTGTGTGTGTGTGTGTATAGTCTCTGTTTTCTTTCAGAGAGATTGCAGATTAAATTTTCACAAGGCAAAAAAAGAGAAAAAGATTCCATGTTTGTAAAAGCTTTTGAGAATAAGGGTGGGGTTTAAAAGTAAGCTGTAAGAGGATCACTTCTCAAAGGATACCTGCACGGACAGAAGTTAAGCCGCAAGTGCACGAACGTGTCTAACAGGTCAGCTTGTTACAGACGGACTCCCTGCACGCTTCTTCTAGAGCAGGAAGTTCGCAGCATCGGGTGAAAGTAACACCGAATAGCGTCTATCACAGATTCTTCTTTAATTCCAGCAAAGTGCTTTTTCTTATTATTATTTTATTTATTTTGAATTTTTTTGCTTGAAGCACAGCACGCATCTCTGCCTCTGATTCGGCTTCTTATTGCTGATTTTTTTCTCCTGCCCCATTAGCGGTAAATACGCCGCCTTTTGTAGGTTTGATTTGTGGTCGTTTACGTGAAATCTTCTGAGGACTCAGTCGCTGTGGGCAAAAACGATCTGCAGAAAACCCACTAAAAGTCAGCTGCTTTGACCTCTGACCTCCCCCGTTCGCCGCCTGTGATCTCAAAATTGCATCCTATGAGTGACGTTTGTTATTATTAACACGGAGGGTTTTTTCTCTCTCTCTTTTTTTTGTAACAGCAGCTGACAGCGAGCGTAACCCGACTGCTCAGCAGTCGCACAAACAGAAGCCGTAATTAGACCGACAGATCCTCCAAATACTGCGAGACGTTCCTGCAGAAGCCTCTGCACTGCTGTCTTTGTGTGTTTACACCGTCGAAAAAAACTAAAAGTGGGCCTTCTCTCTCTCTCCCACACACACACACACTGAGGCTGGGAGAGAAAATTAGGATTATAATCTCGGTAATCAGCAGTCATGCCTGAGGCGGGCAGCTGCAGAACTGCAGAGCTCCAATTTAGGCGTCGGACATTAAAAACCATTAAAACCCAAGTGAATTTCCCACTTATTGATTTTTCTGGGGCAACAATTCAACTTCAGGAAGGAGGAACAACAGAAAAAAGAAAGAAAGAAAGCCAAAAGAAAAAGCAACAGCGGGTAATGTGCTGCGAAATGTTCTTGTTTTTATTTCCAGAAAAGAAAAAAAGCCATAAAAAACACACGTTTTGATCATTTTCACTTCAAACCTGCACAGTTATCTCACACTTTTTATTCTGCAGGTAATGCGCACACACACAAAATGATGAATCATGCATGTGTTGTTTCGGGTACCCCCCCCCCCCCCTTCCCCTCCCCTCCCTTCATTGAAACCAATATATTCATTAAGCACAAGGTCCCCCTATAGGTCACACACCGACTGTAATCCGTTTTCACGGTGAATATGTGGTGGCCCCACGGACGATGGAGGGGTGGGGGTGTGGGAGAGGTGCCACTCAGTGGGGGCAGAGTTGGAGCTGCGGTTCAAGTGTGTGTGTGTGTGTGTAAGAGAGAGAGTGAAAGAGGAGGAAAAAGGGGGTGGGGTGGGGGGATTATGGCGTGACTGCTTGGTTTACACCGTGGTAGCAAATTACACGTGACAACAATTCACCCGGAACCAGAACCACTCTGGACCCCGAGCAGCAACAGCAACGGGGGGCGAAGCAGCTTCGCTGGTCCTCGTCATGCTCAGGTTCCTTGTCTTCCTCCTACGACATCATCCTCATCAGGGTTTAAGGAAGGAGACGAGAAGAAATGATGGAAGTGATTAAAAAAATACAGAAAAACAAAAATAATGAGAGAGAGAGGACACTTCCTCTCCTTGCAGACAACAACAACAATAATAATAATAACAATAACACAGAGGAGGGGTTTCTATGCAAAAGTTTCTTTTGCAACATCTGATGTTTTTGTTTTGTTTTTTTGGTGTGAGTGTTTGGGGGGGGGGGGGGGGGCATAGGGGTGGAGGTGGTGGAGGTGATGGGGAGGTTGAGGTGAGGTGGGGGTAAATCATCCAGTTCAGCCCCTTGATTGATGATTTAATTAGCCATACAGTGGCGAACTGCAGGGAGGACAGGACGCAAAATAATGCTTTATTTACATAACCAATCAGAGCACTGCAAAGGTGGAGCTTCCTCCCTCTCTCCCTCCCTCTCTCTCTCTCTCTCTCTTTCTCTTTCTCTCTCTCTCTCTCTCTCTGTGAGTGGTGCAGAGATGGTTGACTTCTGTAATAAATGCGGGATTCATCCTGTTAAGTGGCGTCCAGAAACACACACACAGACAGAGAGGGAAAAATCACTCGAACCATCCCGGAATATTCCTCTGATATTCCTGCGCGGGCTCGTGCGGCTGTGGCGGTGTGACATCACACTCACTTTATTCCAGTTGGGGTCTTTTTTTATTTTTTTTTTAAATAAAAACAAACAAACAGAAAAAAATGTAATGATTCCCCCCCCTGCCTTCACACACGCGCCGAGGCTGCGCGGCAAGCATCGGGGGAACAAACGGCGAGGACTCCTGCAAACCGGCAAACATGGGACTATTTTTTTTCGTGTTTTATTTTCAGTTTTTTAAGTTCGATAATGCGCCGAGTTTGCGCGCAGGTGCATTGATTTAAACACACCTCCAGAAACGAACCGCAAAAAAAAGAATAAAACTTGTTCCAAAAGGATCAAAAAATAAATATGAGGGGGAAAAAAATAAAAGAATTAAGACGAGCCGAAAACAAGAAAATGATCATTTCTAACATTTTTAACTAAAAAACGAAAACATTTTTTCAGAACCCAAAAACTAATAAAATTGAGGAAAAGCTGCGTTTTCACCAAATTTACATATTTACAGCGTAAATAAAAACCGAACATCCGCCAATCTTTTGCAGCCAATTACAAAATAATAATAATAATAATAATAATAATAATAATAATTAAATACAGAACACATGTAACTGCCCCCCCCCAGCTCCAGCATCCCTCTCCTGTTTCTGCGACTTAAACCACATTACTCCTAACAACAGGCACACATTTCCACGAGCGAACACATATAAAAATGAATCATCCTTATGAGTTTTTTTTCCTTTTGCCCCCCCTCCCCCAACCACCACCACCTCACCTCCTCCACCTATCTTCTCTCTGCAACACAAACACTCAGAAGACAGGGGTTAAAAAAAGAAGTACACTCACTGTCGCCTGGTTCTTACTCCGTGTCGAAGCCCGACATAGTTGGTTTCACGCTCCAAAAAAATAAGAAGAAGAAAAAAGGGAAAAAAAGAAGACGAAGAAGAAGAGAGAGAGGGAGGGAGGGTAGAGAGAGAGAGAGAGGGGGGGAAACTTGAGCCCAGAAAGATGCTCACGTTTGGCTCTCCTCAATTATCCCCTCCCGTGAAGATAGGTGGCGTGCGTTTCAGGGGGCTTCTCCTCTCTCTGTGTGTTTGCACGGCAAAGAAAAGGAGGTGGAAAGGGAAAAAAAAATGTCATTAGAAGAGGCGTAACACGTCAGTCCCTACCCAGGTTTGTTTCCTGGAGTGGGTGTAAGACATCAGTTGTAAACCTGCCCTAGCAGGAATAGCGGTCCCTCCCTCCTCCCAACTATTTCTAAGGCTTTTATTTCTAAGGCTTTATCAACACCGGTGGAACAGGACCCGCTCACCGCCGCCAAGCTCCCGCTATCAGCCCGTCCTCGCAGCTCCTCTTCCCCGCAAAAAGAAGCCTCTGGACCCTCCTTTAAAAAAAAAAAGCAAAAAAAAAAAAAAAAAACAAAACAACAAAAAGAAAAACCCAAAAGAGAAAAAACAGAGCCGAGCAGGTATGTGCATCCTTACTTTTCTATCATTTCCACTCTTTTTTTCTTTTATATTCCTCCTCTCTCGCGCTCTCTCTTTCTCTCTCTCTCTGTCGCTCTCGCGCTGTCGCTCGCTGTCTCGCGGACAAATTGTGTCGGATATTACAACTTCCACGCGCTCGCGCCAGAGTTTGGGAGCTCCGAAACTTCGACTTACCTGCGCAGGTGGAGAAAGGTGCGCTTGGGTTTAAAAAAATTATTTATTTTATTTTCTTTAAAGGAAAAAAAATCCATCCGCTTTTTACATTTTTCCCACACACACACGCAGACACACGCCTCCCTGCGCTCTGCTCGCCGTCTCCCTCCGCGGTGTCCTGTAGAGGCGTCCTGCGGGGTTGTGACAGTCGGGGAGAAGCTGCTTTTTGTCGGGCGTCTGTCGCCGCACAGCCCCGGAGACCCGGAGAAAAAAAAGGCGATTCCGTACGGGTGTCTTTGTTTTTTTTATTCATTTATTTATTTCCTCTCGTTCTGGATCTTATTTGAACCATTTCTCCCACTCGCTCGCTCACTCAGCTCTCCACTCCAATACCCACTTTTCCCAGTAACGGCGATTTGCGCTGATAGATTCGCAGGCGAAACGCGCAATTTGGCTCTAATCGCTTCTTCTACTTTTATGTTTATGCGCCATTTGTGCCTTAAAGCTTTCTTTCCTCTCTCCTCTTTCTTCTTCTTCTTCTTCTTCTGGCACATTTGAACAATTATCTCTTCCCCCCCCCCCCCCGTCCATCTGTTATTTATTAGCAGAGTTTGGATTCACTTTATTAAACCTGAAAGAGCAATTTTTGCTCAAGTGTTTATCGGGTGTTGCGTGACTTTTAAATCCCAGGGAAAGCCCTCCGTTTTTAAAAGAACAGAGTGACTGAAATGTGAGTTTGTTCTCCCTAAAAAAGCGCAAAAAACTAGAAAATGATTGTTTTGAAGTTTAATTAAAAGAAGTGGATTTTTTTTTAAATATTTTGCTTACAACGGAGAGGAGGAGGTAGAGAGCGGGCTGTGAAACTTTCCTGATTTTAAATAAGAAGAATTCCGCTTCTCGTCCTCAGCCCTGATCTCTGAGCCGATCAGCTGAAAATCTAAATTAGACGGACACGGATCTCCCCCCCACCCTCCACATCACCGCTCCTCTCCTCTCCTTCCTTTCCCCTATTTCTCCCATTTTTTCTTTCCTCCTCTCTCTCTTTGAAACGATCTGTCCCTCCGATCCAACACGCATTTTCAGCTTCTCGTCCGGGGCGCAAGTGGATGTGGATCACTCTCACACCCCTCCTCCTCCTCCTTCTACTACTTCACCATCACCACCACTACCTCCTCCTTCCCTTCACCCCAACTCACATTGTTGGTGCTGGTGTGTGTGTCTGTGTGTGTTTTCAGATCTCAAGCTGAAATCAAGGAATCGAGTCCATGCGAGCTGCCATCTGATCCCACACACACACTTATCAATGAAGCAGGAGATCATGGCGGATGGCCCCAGGTGTAAGAGGCGAAAACAAGCCAACCCGAGACGGAAAAACGGTAAGAGAAAAGATGACGGGACGCAAAGCTGCTGCTGTTGTTGTTGTGGTGTTAGTGATGGTGGTGGTTGTGTGTGTGTGTGTGTGTGTGTAGTGTAGAGGTGGTGGTATCTTTGGATGTAAGCCCGCTTTCAAGGCTTCTCGCTGCGGTTCAGGGGTGTGTGTGTGTGAGAGAGAGAGAGAGTCCGCGTTCATTCGGGCTTAAAAAATAAATTATTATGACTATTTACTTTATTTAGTTTTTACGCGTGGATGTAAAGAGCGTTACCCCGGGAGAGAAAGTGTGCGTAAATGCGTCCTAGGATTCAGTTTCTCTGTCCTTTTTTTATTTTATTTTATTTTTTTTAGTTATTTATAATTTGAAATAATAGCGGCTTTTAATTGTGGTGAAGCGAGGGGGAGGGTGTAGGGGGTGAAGATTGTCAGGAGGCTTGTGTTGAAAAAAACAAAACAAAAGAAAAGTCCAAAAATGTTAAATAGTGAGAATAAACTTGTGGATGTTGGAAAGTTTGGCGGTTGCCGGCTGCTTTCTCTTTGGGGAAAAAAAGAGAAAAGACAAGAAAAATCGGCCATGGGGGAGGACTGAGTGTCTGCCTGAGTGTAGCGGTCACTGGCTGTGGAGGAAAAAAAGTCCAGTCTTGTGACTTTGAGTTTTTAATCCACGCGCTGGCACTCCGTGACCACCACACACAAAAACACACACACACTTTCCCCCTCTATTTCTATAATAAATCCACGCTAATGGGCCTTTATATTCTTTCTTTTTCATTAGTATTTTCGAAGTCTTTGAACGCCTCACTGTCGCTGCTTTTCCGGGACATATCTCACAGGAGGTGGCACTTGGCTTCTCTGGTTCACTTTTTTCCTTTTTTGAATTTTTTTTAAACGATTAAAAAAACAACAACAACAACAACTTTATTTTCCTATCAGTAAGTGAAGGCAGCACGAGAGGCTTGTATAAATAGGGTGACATGTCCGATAAATGCTGGACATTAATTGGGTCTGGACTGGGGAGCGCTGGAGGTGGAGATTTGTTGCTTTTCTTCCTCCATTTGACTGCACCACACTTTTCCCCACAAGAGGCAAATCTGCAGTGACATTTCCTGGCCCCCGTTATTCCTGATTATTCCATACAGGCTCAGAGAGAGAGAGTGTGTGTGTGTGTGTGTGTGTGTGGAAGTGTGTGTGATTCAGCAGGTTTTTATTTGCAGTTTTTAATTTTAAAAGAAAGGAAAGACAGAGAGAGAGAGAAAACTGTGCCCCCACAGGTTATTTATCTAGATCAGATTTCACTTATTGATCCCGCACAATCGATGGCAGACAAGCATTTTGTTCCACGCTTAAAGAGCCTCACAACAGTGCAGGAGATCTCTCACGTTCTGGATCTGCGGCAAGATGGAATAACAAGGACGGAAGAGATGTGATGGTGTGTGTGTGTGTGTGTGTGTGTGTGTGCATTTTAGCCTTGGCCACCTGTTTTGGTTAAAAAGGAAATAAAAATAATAATAATAATAATAATAGGAGCACAAATATCATTTTCACACCCTTAAACCTGACGGAGCTCTGGCACGGCTGCAGGGAGATTATTTTTATCCGTTGTAGGGAAAGCATGCAGCGTATTCCCGTCTTCTTCTTCTTCTTCTTTCCTTATTTTAAAAGAAAGTACATTTATTTTAAAAAAAAAGTCAAACAAGCCCTCTCTGATGACACCCCCCCCCTACTATTCCCTTCTTCCTCCTCACTCCTCAACCCCTCACCCCCCCACCCCCCCCAACCCCCCTCCTCTGGGAATTCAGAGGCTTATTGAGGCTTGGCCACTCTCTCCTCTCTGTCCTCTTCCTGCCCGGGCTCGGGTCGCTCGGAGGGGATGGCGGTTTGTTTACGGCTCGGCTGCCACACTTAAAAACAAAACACAGATTTAAAAATGAAGAAGAAGAAGAAGGAGGAATGCTAAATATTCCAGCAGATGGATGTCGAGTTAGGCGCACTAACTGGCAAATCAGATGAATGTACACAAATGCGATATACGTTGAATTAGAGCTGGTGTCTCTGAGGCGGCGGTGCGCTAATTCTAATTTGTGTGCCACCTGTTTTGTTATGTTTTTTTTTTACTATTTTTTTAAAAATAGAAATAACACACACACACACACCCCTTCCTCCTCCTCCTCCTCTTCTTCGGTGGAGCGCTTTCTTGGAGCCCCTCTTTGACATTCTCCTCCAGATGACTGTTGGCCTTCAGGGTTGGAGTTGCTGCGCTCGCTCTCACGTCATGTGGTATTTAACAGCGCAGTTCGCCACTTATCCCTCTCCCAAAAAAAACCCGCCTCTCTTGCAGATTTCCGAGGAAAATATTTTTTATGAAAAAGCGCAGAAATGACATTTTTTTTATTCTCACACGACTGTTAGAACCACCGCAGAGAGAGGGAGAAGAGAGAGAGAGGGTCTCTTCTTCCTGCTGTGAAACTCGATCTCAGCAGCGTGAAGCGTTTGAGAGTTTGGCCTTCGCCAGGTGTTGCTTGTCACATCCAGCTGTGACAGCACACACACACACACACACACACACACACACACACACACACACACACACACACACACACATACACACACCTGTCCTTATTTTCTTATTACTCAACCAGCATCAAAAACAAAAAAGAAACCACGAAAAGCTCGACTCTGTTTTTGCAGTTTGGACTCCCTGCACGAGGAGAGGAGGAAGGAGGAAACACACATGTTGCAGATGTTGCAGGTGCTTTTCCCGTCCTGCTTTCTTTTTTCCTTTTCTTTTTTTCTTTTTCGGTGATTCTTCGCCCTCCAAAATACTCCTATTACATAATCCGAAGCAGTCCGAATCCTGCTCTCTATCTATTGCTGACTCTTTCTCCTCAGTTGTGCGAATGTTGTCACATATTTATGAGTAAAATGGAGGAAGAAACCATCTTTTTATTCTTCTTCTATTCTGCTTGTTTTTTTTAAAGTTGTGTTTGGAGCATCTGCAGTCAAAAATTTAGGGGGGTGAGGGCGACTAAGCAAAAAGAGAAGGAAGATGTTGGGGGTGAGGAGGAGGAGGTTTCACGGGGCGCTCGCGGACAATTGATTGTCAGCGGTAATGTGTTTCATTTACATGTTTATACCGTCAATAGTGGCGAACAAGGGGGGGGGGGGGGGGCTGGGGTGTCCACGGCACGCCATTCACTGCTGCCATTCCCATACGGGCTGGCGATTGTTGTGCACCAGCAGACAGAGCAGGAGAAGAAAGAAAGAAAGGACAGAGAGAAAGAGTTCAGCTGTGCGTTATTTTCTTTAAGTGAAATGATGACATCAGGCAGGGACGACTCCGACGAGCCTCCTGCCTGTCACTACACTGCTTCGGCATCGAGAGGCCCGATATTCCTCCTGCACGGAGCTAAATATATCTGTGAATGAGATTGCTGTGGAGGGAGGAAAAGCAAAAACATAAACAAAAATATATTCAAAGGAAAATAGAAAAGGAGGGACTTTTTATTCCTTATAAAATTCCTGTGATTGGGATTTATTTCGGAGATGCGGTGTGATGTCTGCTCCTCTTAGCGTGTGCTTTCCACCAGGAATTAAATCAGGAATGTTGCTCGGGCTGCAGCACATGCACGTTTTTTTTCTTCGACTTCTTCCTCTTTTTTTTCATGCTTTGATAAGGCAGATAAAAGCAAATAGCATGGCTTGTGGCTGTACCCCCCCCCCCCCCCCCCAACACACACACACATATTTTTAAAAAAAGGAGGAGAGGTAGAAGCTAATGATCATCTCACCTTCATCCTAAACGCAGGACAGCAAACTTTCATCAATTCCCTCCTCCACCTTCTTTTAATTTTTATTATTATATCCCCCCCCCCCCCCCCACACACAGACACACACACACACGCACCACACACCCCAGGGGAAAAAAGGCATTTTTTTTACACTTCTTTTCTTAAAAAAACTAAAAAAACTCCTTCCTCCTCTTCTTCCTCCTTCCTCCTCGACCGCCCTGCCTACTTGTGTGGAGATATTTTTTCCGCCTGGCGGCCAGAGAACACACACTCACAGAGGCACGGCGAGCCCAGACCCCCTGACACCGCGGGTCTTTGGAATGCCTTAGGTACGATTTCACTTTCGCTCACATCAATGCTGACCTGAATGCCTTTCATATCTGATCCGCCGCGTCTCTCCTGGTAAACATCCCCCCGGGGGGAGGAGGAGGGAGGGAGGAAGAGGAGAGTAGAGAGGGGTGGGGGGGAACAAAGAAAAGGAGCTCCTCTTCTCCTCCTTCTTCTTCTCCTTCTTCTTCTCCTCCTTCTTCTCCCTCTTAATCACAATTCAGCCCCTTTCGCCGCCAGCAGCAGGGCTCGCACATTTGCATTCAGCATCAGGAAGAAAAAAAAGGGCCTGAGATGAAAAGGGGGGCGAGAGAGAGAGAGAGAGAGGAGAGAAAAAAGGGAGACGAGGAAAGGGGGGAAAACTAGAGGTGGGTGGGTGGTGGGAGAGAAATAACTAGGGTGTTTGTGGTTGTTTGTTGGTTGTCCCCTGGTTACAAGCCTTTTATAGCCTCCCTTACTCCATTGCAAGGGTCCCCGGGCCCCTCCTGACAGACAGATAGTGTTACGAGATGCCCACACTATTCGTGGCCACTCACACTTAAGAAGAAGGAGGAGAAGAAGAGAGAGGTATAAAAAAAAGAAAAAGATCCTGGCTGCGACCGATTGGATTGTGCACAAAGAAGGAGATAAGAGTCGGGAGCAGGTGTCTGCACGATGCGCTTTTTTTCCCTCTGCTTCTTCTTCCTCTGTTTGGCACCAACTTCTCGGCAACTTTGCACGTGAATTCAAATAAATAAATAAAATAGTAGCCGCAGTCTTTAATTATTTATCTGTTATCGTCGGATTGCCAGAGCTGTAAAGTGTTGGATGGATGGAGAGGCGGGGGTATCATGTGATCTGGATTTCAGTTTTCCTTTCATCCCTTCCTCTCCCACAACTTTCCTCTCTT